CACACTTTGTGTTGTCCTCTCCTTTTGGCCCGGCCCGGCCTCCTATGTTTGATCAACTTGCAATCACGACATTTCTCAATTAATTTGATGAAACCCTATCCGCTTTCTAGAATGACAAAATGCAACCAAAGCTTGAACACGGGGTTACTCGAATATGTGACAACCTGGAGCCTTCGCCAAATATGAGAAGTGGACTAGCCCAATTCCCAATGAAAGCGCCACGGCAATGAGGCACTATCCACATGGTTTTAACAACGAGCCACCCCGTCAAAATGCTGGGGGCCCCGCACATGGCACTATCAAATTTTCGGGCTTTACAACAGCATTCTAATGGGAAAAAAGCATGCGTGCATCGGTTGATCTCATCCTTCCCGATAACCCCACACATTTTAACAAACTATTGGGGTATTGATCGGGTAACCGGCAATTCTGCAGTCCACAAAGAGCTCGCTTTCAAACTGCGACATAAGTTGTCGACGTCGTACGTAAGGTATGTTTTTTCCGGTTTGCTATCCTGGTTTTCGATGCGCAGGTTGACGGCTTTCGGGATGCTTTCTTGAGACTGAGTTGCCGCAGCGGAGCTCGAATGTTATGGCTGGGTCCTGCGATCCGCTAGCGACAGGATTTCCTCCAAAGACTCCCTGACCTGTTTACACGTTGATCTTCTCCGTGTACCAGGCTCTACCATACTGATGATACATCGTTCCAATTTCTCAGACATTGACAATGCAGTACCCTCATCATCAACGGCTGGACCAGGGAGATCGACCTTGGTTTTAAAATCCGCCGGTAATATGGGTTCAGGTTTCACTTCATCCAGTAATACGCTAGAGCTCGAGGCACGTTTCGCCCAGCTAAAACTATTCGGGGAACAAGTCAAATCCGACAATACCATCTGTCGTTCCATGCGTGTGTCGAACTTGTACAGTAGTTCAAAAAGTATGACGCCGAGGGCATAGACGTCTAATGACTCGTGAATGTAATGTTCTTCAGGACTAGCCCCTGCGCAGTCACAACGCGGGTTTTCATTGTTTTCTCCAACATTAGCATGTAACCTAGCTCCTCTACGGCCACGAGCATCATGCCTACACTGACATACCGGTGGGCGATAGAACTCAGTGCCAACGGGGCCAAGTTTGGTAGGGATGCTAGACTTGTTCTCATCTTCGGGGGAGGTGTCTGCAACCAGGCCAAAGTCGCCAATCCGTGGAATTGTGTAGTGGGAACTAGATTTGCCATCTGTTCCACAACGCAAACAAGCTATTTCGTCCCGCTTTGCGGAAAGAGAGAGAAAGACATTTGCTGGTTTTAAATCTCGGTGGATAATTCCTTGCGTATGGAGGTATTCCACCCCCGATAGGATCCCTAGGAAGATTTTAAGGGACGGGATAAGGTGATAACAGTGGCGCGGTGAGCTTTTCTCGGATCCTTCGCTTTCGGGACGGAGATATTTTGCTAAACTTAGTGGATGCAAAGACATTTGTATGTGAAGCGTGATGGGCGATAGCTTGCCACCAGCGGCCGCATTTTGATCCACATGGACGGACATATTCCCTCCTGCTCCATCGGAGAACACATCACTGTCCAAAGCACTTGTCGAGGTCTGCGCGTGGCCATGCGCCTGATGGCTCAACGGTCGTCCGATTGATTCAACCTCGTTGTCCTCGCGATCGTCATAACTCTTCCCTCCGAAGCTTTTCCGGGAATATCTGGATTCTGTTCTGTTACTAGTCCCCCGCCGGGATTCCGGAGACTCTGATAGCGATATTGCTTCAACGAAGCCAATCTCGTCTTTGGACGAGGCTTCGAACCGGATCCCGTGACTGGATTCTTCAAAAATGATACCATGGCTTGATTCGTCCTCAGCCATAGATCCTTGGCTTAAAAGACCCAGAGGTTTGTTTGCAGGCTTTGGCGTCCCCAAAGGGATTTGAATTGTATTATATTCGGCCCAAGCACCAAAATATCTCACGACATTGCTGTGATCTAACCGCGCCAGTGTCCTGATCTCTTTCAGGATGTGATCCAATTCTTGTAAGCCCCGGTCTTGGAGCTGTTTCAACCTTTTGGAATTCAATGGGATCTTTTTAATCGCATACATTTGACCATCAACATAATGTCTAGCTCTGTATACGACGCCATAAGAGCCTTTTCCTATCAAGGATTCTTCTTCAAATTCTGTCGCGTATCTTGACATCAAAATACTCGGTTTATATGGCTGGTAAACGCCGGGTAAACCAGTGAACGGAAGATAATTCGTTGGCTGCACTTGTGACATGTGCGTAAAATTCATCGCAGCTGGTAGACGGTCAGGAAACCCGACTTCGGTTCCACTGGCCAAGAGTTTTTGGACGTTCGGCCTATTTTCTGTGCTTGGAGATGACCTTTTCTCCCGCGGTTCTGCCCAGTCTCTCGTTGGATTTTCAGTAGTACGGCGACTTAGCACAACACGGCTTTCACTTCTCATTCCTTGAGAGGGTCCTTGAGCATTCAGGTCCAATCCTTCCAAGGCGGGCAGTCCAAGGACATCTAGAGTGTCCCGATAATATTTCCGTGTAATTTCCCAGTCGTCGCCATCAACACCCGCAGCCACGACCCCATTGGCAGACAGGAACTGAGACTTATGGGTGTACAGGCGTCGTCCCAGTATCCGGGCTTCAGGCGAGTCGCGAGTATATTTTCCATGACTTCCCGCTTGTTCATTGAGAATTTCAGTAGCCTTTGAAAGGCAATAGTATTCGAGGAGAGCTGTGGTCATCATAGCCGCGTGGCCTTCTGCATCTAAACCAGCTATTTCGTGTTCTGGGTCTCTGTGCTCCAGCGCGCCTTCAAACGAACCCGAAACGGCATCGTCGAACGAAAGTTGACGGCTATGGCCCTCATGGGCTCTAGTTGCATTTTCGTGATGGTAGCTTGGATTTGTTTCATCATTGGCCTCGTGGTTCTCAAATATATCATCCTCATCGGAAGACGATAGGTCACCCGGCGAGCGAAACAGAGACATTAGGGTATCAACAAAGAGGTCGTGTCTTTAACTTTAATGGAAACAGAGCGTAAGAGTAATCATAAATTCAAGATCGATCATAGGTGTCATGGAATCGCGAACCAAACCGCGGGATTCATAGGATGTACAGCGTGCTCATCAGCGGCAGTGGTTGACGGGCGGGGGTTCGGGGATTAAACAAATCAACAGAAGAGAGAACAAATCCCCAAGATCACAATTCACTTGACGTGCAATTGGCGCATCCCGAAATGTCGAAAGTTCCCAGTCATATTGAGACGAAGCCGAATCGTTGATGCGTGAAGGTGTTTGGATGCGTGTTTGGGCCTGTCAACAAGTTCGTGAATGCTGAGATTCGATTCGCTTCCATACGATTCAAAAGGCCAGCCTGTCGCCATGACAGTCGTAAGGCAGCAAAACATGCAGAAGTCGCTTCATTTTAGTCTCTCAGCATTGAAGAACTTGGGGTGTTTAATTGAAGATCCTCAACTTCGCATGAAGAGCAGCCAGGATGTTAACTAACTATAGGTTGGGCCTCAAGCGTCGTTGCCACCCATCAAGACTTGGGTTTGCTGCCACTTTTCAAGACTCAGATTTGGCTATCGCAACTGGCTACTTTATAAAGCGTTCCTCACTTTTTTCACATAGATAATTGCTTTACCGTATATCCTTCTTGCTTGGAGGTCTTCCATCGCTACTTTTACTGCATCTAGACCATGGTACTTCCTTGGGTAAACAACTGGTTTGATGGCACCTGAATCAATCATTTCCATGAGACCTGCCCATACCTGTTCCGACTCCTTTGGATCCCTGCGGTCTGTGTCTCCATATCGCTAGCAGTTGAAAGGGAGGTTAGTTCGCCCACCTTGATTAACAGTGGAAGAATACGCAATGGGCACTCACGTAGCCAATTATCACGGCTTGCTTTAGCAATATTCGGTTTGTTGTGAGCTGTTCCATAATGCCTCCCCGCCCGGCAAAGCCAACTAGAACTATCTTTCCTCCCGCAGGCCTCAGGCAACGAATACTCTCCTTAACGAGTCCAACGTTGTCGATGACAACATCCACGCCAGAGCCACCCGTTACGCTCTTTACTTGATTCTCCCAGTCAGGGCCAGCGCCAGTTGCCACAATGCTATCGACACATCCCAGTGATCGCAAGGCGTTTGTCTTCTCAACGTCTTTCGTATCCCTGATGCCCGCGATGACTTGAGCTCCCAAGGCTTTTGCAATTTGGCAAGCATATACACCTATACCACCAGCAGCTCCGTGGACCATCACCCAGTCGCCTTTCTTGACCCCTCCCCTTAATGCAACTGCGCCATATGCAACGTTTGCCGTTGCAGCGAGCCCAGCTGCGCTTTCAAACCCCCAATCGGCGGGAATGTGGCGAAGCGCTCGTTCTGGGACTAGAATCTGTTCGGCATATGCACCTAATCCTGAGCCAAAAACGTTGTCTCCTGGATTGAATCGTGCGTTATGAAGGCTATATCCAACGGCGAGAACCGTGCCGGCGAATTCCAGTCCAAGCGTGAAGGGAGGACGGATCAGTGAGGTGTTGTTCTGGTGTTTCCCTCGGGCATAGAGCAGGTCGACATGGTTCAATGCTGTGCAGTGGATTGCAACGAGGATTTCTCCGGGACCGGGGCTGGGTGGAAGAGGGACCTTCTGGGGTCTGAGGGAGGAGACGGAAGACACAAATTCTGTGACGCGGATCGCTTCCATGACGGGGCAGGCTGTGATGTGTCGCGATTCTAAAATGTACCGGGGGGAGCTCAGGTCGATTCAGCCCGGGCAAATCTCCCACCGCATTGATGCCAAAGACACCTCCCCATCCCAGTGAACGCAAAGCAGTCGTTCGGCTTGCCGTCTCTGCTGTTGACTCGGCCCGCGACTTGATTGCTGGCTGTTTGCCGAACCTCGGGAGTGATTACATAAGACGCGATGTCTTGGCATATGCTGAGTAACACGCCAAGCCGCAGTAAACAAAGCAAACAGCCAGCTGATGACGACGTCGCTGGAGAAGGGGCGGATCCGCTGCTCACGCTTTCCCCTGAATTGGCCCGTGTTGGGGCGGTCGAAAGATGTGTATTTGCTTCTTGTGTGTCATCTTGCAGCTTTTGTCCGTCAGGCTGCATGGAATAAGGATGGAAGTACGGAGTATCTAATGTTCGTTGATCCCACCCGTCATTTGCTGCTCTGTTGTTTGCTGTTCTATCCTTTTGCTTTGCGTTTGATGCTTCCGTGCTATGGCTATCGCGAGAAGATGGATATTGGTGTTGGTTGTCTCATTCTGTTTCCTATTTAGTCTCCTCCACATCAATTCCGCTACCAATTCCCGTTTGTCGAACTTGCCCTCGAAGGAACGTCCGCCTCGACATTGGTGGAAACACTATGTGCATGAGTATCCCGTGACGTCTTTGATTTCTCTCCCGACTGGGACCCCGAAGCCGATACCGCCAATACAGTTTCAATTTGGAGATGAAGACCCGAAGTCCAAGGCCCTCCGCGAACAGCGCCGGGAGTCTGTCAGGGCCGCTTTTCTACACACTTGGGAGGGATACAAGACAAGAGCCTGGGGCCACGACGAGGTTGGACCAGTGCATGGAGATGCGAGAAGTACCTTTGGCGGCTGGGGTGCAACGCTGGTGGACAGCCTGGATACGCTCTGGATTATGGGACTGAAAGAAGAATTTGAGGAGGCCGTCAGAGCAGTGGAACACATCGATTTTTCATATTCGGAAGAGGCCATGCTGAATGTTTTTGAAACTACAATCCGTTATCTTGGTGGGTTTCTTGCCGCTCATGATTTGACCGAGGGTGTCTATCCGATCCTCCTTCAGAAAGCTGTGGAGGTGGCCGATTTGCTCTATCTGGCGTTTGATACGCCAACTCGGATGCCCGTCCTGCGCTGGTTCTGGCAAGGAGCCCGAGACAATCTACCACAAGAAGCCAGCCATGCAAATATTCTGGCAGAATTAGGCTCGCTCTCGGTGGAATTCACCCGTCTATCGCAACTTACTGATGACTCGAAATATTTCGATGCGATCCAGCGTATCACAGACGTGCTTCAAGAGAATCAAAATGGCACCAAACTACCGGGGATGTGGCCACTCGGCATCGATGCCCTTGCCCCTAGTTTTACTGCCGATCGACGCTTTACTTTGGGTGCCATGTCTGATTCCCTCTATGAATACTTACCAAAGGTAAAGTTCGTTGAATATGTCAGTATCCATCCCACAACTAATTTCTGCAGGAGTACCTGATGCTTGGTGGGCAATCGTCACAATATAGAGAGATGTATGAAACTGCTATGGAAGTAGCGCGGAAACATTTACTTTTCCGCCCCCGAACGAGCACCGGCGAGGACATTTTAATCTCCGGGACTGCACACGTGGCCTCCAAATCAACAACCAATCTCAACCCTGAAGGACAGCATCTCACTTGCTTTTCGGGCGGCATGATAGCGCTAGCTGCGAAAATCTTTGATCTACCAGGGGACCTCGAGATTGGCAGGAAATTGACAGAGGGATGTATCTGGGCTTACCGGAGTATGCCCAGCGGTATCATGCCTGAAATCTTTACTGCTGTCCCCTGCGCCGAAGATGAAGACTCTCAATGCACCTGGAGTCCTCGTTTTTGGTTTCGTACGGAAGATGACGAGAAGATGACTACGGCTGAGCTCGAGAAAAAGGCCGAAGACCAAGGGCTAATCCCCGGCTTTCTCAGAGTTAACAATGCACAATATCATTTAAGGTATGTGTATGCCCATGATATGCCTGTCTTATCGCAACTAACCAGTCTGTTATTGTACAGGCCGGAGGCAATAGAATCTGTATTTATTTTGTATCGCATCAGCGGCGATCAAAGCCTTCAAGACAAAGGCTGGGATATGTTCACTGCCATTGAAAAGCACACTCGCACAAACATTGCATACGGATCTCTTAATGATGTCACATCACCAAAACCAGAGATCTTGAATGAAATGGAATCATTTTGGACTGGTGAAACTTTGAAATACTTCTACCTTTTGTTTAGTGACCCGGATCTTGTTAGTTTGGATAAGTATGTTTTTAATACTGAAGCTCACCCGCTCAAAAGACCTTCATAGATCCCCTGACCAGGATCATTTTTCAGCTTTTTGGGCTATATACAACTCGCATCCAGTGGGTTTGGGCTATTCCTGTAGAAGGATATATAGACTTTTTTTGGCAAAAAGTTATCACTTGTCACTCTTCATGTCTTCTGGCTTTTCTCTGCCTGTATTGATACATAAGTTCTGCGGAAATCGAGGTTTTACAGGGTCTGAAATCTGCATCTACTCCGACTCAACATTATCCTTACTAAGGGGGACTAAAATTAGCTGCATGACATGGACTTGTAATGTGTTGTAGTCGCACCAACCTGCTCAGTGCTCACATTTGTTTGTTCTGAGATAGCCCCTTGTTCCTTGCCTAGCACCTAGTTAACTAACTCACTCGTAATGACTAAGCTGAACCCTAGCCTCTGATGTCACTCGCAAGATCTACCTAGAGCTGCTTTGCCTGGGATGAGATGTTGTTAAGAAATGGCCAACAGAGAAAAGGGCTAAACACAGCTACAGCATTGACCGCTGTGATATCGCATGCTAGTTGCATCACATGGAGAGCTTTGACGATGTGGCTCTTTCTGCTAACGCCTCGTCTGAGACCATTGCGCTCGGCGAGCAGTCAGCTGGACCACCTGAAAGCCTCGAGATTGACAGTGCCCTTTTAAACGGCAACGATCACGCCGGAGCAAACCAAGATGCGTTACAGCAGGGCCTTCCGGAGCAACAGCGGGACGCGAATGAATCCGACGATAATCCCCCCGCCTTCCCGCAACTACTCTACCAGCGCCGGAACTCGATCGATATGCCCATATTTGACGGAGATGGAGACGGCGGTGATGAAGAACCCAGTGTTGCAAAGTCGTTTGAACGATCGTCCTCTCCCAATGGCACGACACAAAGAAGTCGAGAGGGCGGCGATGAAAGGCCCGGTGAAGATGGGATTTCGCGAATGCATAAGTTCTCGCTGTACGAAACGTCGACGCGATACTATATGGTCGGGATGGATCTACTGGGTAAGCGCTTTCGAATTTTGAAAATCGATCGAACGTCAGAATCCGACGACCTGGTCATTTCGGAGGATGATATGGTGTATACAAAGCGAGAAATGAACGAGCTTCTAGACGCCGTGGATGACGGGAACAAGAGCTCCGGGGGCTTGAAACTGCGCTGCAGTGCCTGGGGGCTCCTTGGCTTTATAAAATTTACGGGAACCTATTACATGCTGCTTGTGACGAAACGGAGTCAAGTCGCCATGATCGGTGGGCATTATGTTTACCAGATTGATGATACCCTACTAGTTCCCCTAAGCCCTACCAACTCCAGCAAGACCAAATCCGAGAAACATGCCGAAGAGGCAAGGTTCATCAATATTATGAGCAACGTTGACTTGACGCGTTCGTTCTATTTCAGCTATTCATATAACATCACTCAAACACTGCAACAAAATATTGCATCCGAGAGGGAGGCGCTCGAAACGGGCCAGCCAGGTGTCAATGGCTACAACCTCAACTCCATGTTTGTTTGGAACCACTACCTTTTGATGCCAGTTGTTAGTTCATTGAAAAATGCGTACGACTGGTGCCTACCGATAATTCATGGCTATGTGGACCAGTCATCAATGTCTGTCTACGGCAGACTGGTGTTTATCACCCTTATTGCGCGACGGTCCAGATTTTTTGCGGGTGCGAGATTTCTTAAGCGCGGGGCCAACGACCTGGGTTATGTCGCCAACGATGTTGAAACAGAGCAAATAGTCTCAGAGATGCTGACGACTTCCTTCCATAACCCTGGGCCAAAGCTTTATTGCAATCCGCACTACAGTTCATATGTTCAACATCGTGGAAGCATCCCGCTTTACTGGACCCAGGATAGTACTGGAGTCAGCCCAAAACCGGACATTGAGCTAAATCTCGTTGATCCGTTTTATTCCGCAGCCGCACTCCATTTCAACAACCTTTTTGAAAGATACGGCGCTCCTATCTATGTTTTGAACCTCATAAAGTCAAGAGAACGCGTTCCTAGAGAGTCGAAGCTTCTGGTAGAGTACACGAATGCAATAAATTATCTCAACCAGTTTCTGCCAGAAGATAAAAAGATTATCTACAAGGCCTGGGATATGAGTCGTGCTTCTAAAAGCCGTGACCAAGACGTCATCGGGACATTGGAAGATATTGCAGAAGATATTATACCCAAAACGGGTTTCTTCCAAAATGGCGAATCCCCAGAAACTAGTTTGAAGATGCAGAATGGTGTTGCTAGGACCAATTGTATTGACTGTCTTGATCGGACGAACGCGGCTCAGTTTGTGATCGGCAAACGAGCTTTGGGGCATCAACTGCATGCGCTTGGGGTTATTGATCGTACCACTGTTGATTACGACACCGATGCCATCAATATGTTTACTAACATGTGGCATGCTCACGGAGATACAATAGCTGTGCAGTACGGTGGTTCACATCTTGTCAACACGATGGCTACATACCGGAAGCTCAATCAGTGGGCGGGACATTCTCGAGACATGGTAGAAAGCTTTAAGCGTTTCTATAACAATTCCTTTCTTGATGCCCAGAGGCAGGAGGCATATAACCTTTTTCTAGGGAATTACGTGTTTTCTCAAGATCAACCTATGCTGTGGGACCTTGCAACTGATTATTATCTGCACCATTCGGATCCACGGACATGGTCAGAAGCCAATAGGCATAACTATATCAACTGGTATACTCCAGAATTCTTGATCAAACGGCAAATGCCTCTTGCTGTATGGCCCAGTGACAAGCCCAAAACTCCTATCCGGTTCTTCGACGACTATTGGCTAGAATACTATAGGCCTCTAGCCGTATCCTCCTTTTCAAAAGTGTTCGCATTCAGAATGAAGTCTACTCTTCACAACCTCCCATTTCGGACCACTCAGCAAGGCAGGTATGACCTCAGCCCATTTGTTGTTCGAATCGACCATGAAACAGAGCCTCGTGAAAAGAAGACTCCACGCAAGGAACCGCTTGTTATTCAACAGCCTCTCGACGGGTCAACCGAAGATGGTCGCTCCACCGGTTCCGTTAATGAGCCGCTTCCGCCATCAGAACCACTTCGACTTTGGCTTCAGCAGGCTTCCAGAAGCAAACCTTCCAGTCAAGGAAGCGTCCTTAATCCAGAGCTCTTCCCGCCACCTCTGGTGACTACGAACTCGGACTTTCTTAGCCAGAAAGCGCAGAAAAATCAATATAATGTCAACCAGCTTGTCAAAGAATCATTGAATCCAACCATTTCCGCATCCGAAGCCGAAGAGTACGAGCGGTATATAAATCATCCACTGAAGGTTCCGTTGGTGGTGACGTCCGAATCGCCAATAACAGCAGCTGCAGGTCATAAGGATCTTGATTTGGTCGACTATGTAAATAAGGTATTGCTCGAAGATGCAGCTCTGGATGCATTGGCGGAGGATAATCTAGCGGATTATATCGAGTTTCTAAACGCAAGGGAGGAAGGTTTGACGGTAATCAAGGAGGATTACGATAAGAAAAGGTACAAGAGGTATAGGCAGTGGTTGAAGGGGAAAAGTTTGTTCAAGCAAGGCATTGATCTGTAAGGGAGCAATCTTCCTTTTCCACGACGAGAGGCGTTTTAAATTCTATGATACCCGTGGGATATACCCGTAATAAAAGCTCGTTTTATTGTACTCCTGTATTGAGCTTCCGTCACAGGTAGATTTGGTAGGGCTCGCATATCCATAATGATAGCGTTTCACTATCCTGATAAAGGCACCAAGGTCATTGCAAAAGCCCCCGTAACCTCTCGTCCCCAGTAAGCAACTCCATAAACTCGGCACTAACATCAATTTTCTCTCCCTCTCCCTCCAAGATTACCTCCTCCAATACAGCTTTCAAAATCTCAACACAGGTTATTAGGGCCCGTTTGAGTTCTAACAACTGTTGGAGTCTACCTTCTTGCTCGTTTCCACTCCCTTCAATGTCCTCTTCATCTTGCTTAAGCTGCAACCAGCACCCACAGATACCGGCCAGAAGCTCCGCCCTCCACCTCCAAACTCTCGGCCATGCAGATAGGATCAGCCGCTGGGTGCATTGGACTGCAGAAACAAGTAAGGGTAAATAGGCTGTCCCAAAAGGGTTTGTTAGTGTTAATGTTAGTATCGGGATAATCTCCTGCAGGTACTTTACAGCTTCGAGGCCCAGTTCGTTTACGGCAATTGCTAGTTGGTCGAGTAGAAGTGCAGATAGTTGGGGATATGGAAACGAGGAGATATTTGTATCTTCTGACGGACGCGGGGAGCTGATGTGAGTAAAAGAGGAAATAATGTTATGGCGCAAAAGACGTGTCAGAATGTCTTTTCGCAATTGGGACTCTTGCTCTTCGCTTGTACGCTGGGATGGCGCTGGGTTGTAAAATTTCTTTGAGGGAGGAGAAGCGGGAAATCTCGTTCGAATGACGGAGAATAAAGCTGGGTATGCGGACTTTAGAAGGTGAATTGACTGATCCTCGGGGGTTAATGTAGGAAGGGACAAGAGACATGGTGTGAGGGCCTCCTCGAAGACAGAGTCGAGGTTGGTACGGCTGAGGATGTCGGATTTAGCTTGCTCAAGAGGTGATAAGAGTTGACTAAGTATTTTGCAGCCATGCGCTTTAAAAGGCAGGCTTTCGTCGTCTATAAATGATAAAATGGGCGGTATAAGCAAAGAGAGCTGGCCCTCAATTGTCGAGGCGTCCGAAGCCTTTTCATCGTTAGAATCACAGTACTTAAGAAGGGTATTTTTAAGAAAACGCACCGTATATTGGCCGATAGTCCAGGAAAGTATCGTCACCACAAAAACGTCTTTGTGTTTCCATGGTTTTGAGCTTTTATCAAAAAGACCCGGGTCAAACTTTGGCTGCTTGACAGGGTGCACGTCTTTCCGGCCAGCAGAAGTGATCGCAGGAGTCTTTGTTTTCAAAAATGAAGATTTCACAAACCGCGTGAGGACATCCTCAAAGAGGGTACTCTTAGTCTGACATAACCTTCCGTATGGTTTGAGGAGGAAGTTTGCTGCCGAAGCCGCTGTTGGTGTCGTCCAGGGATCGCTTGGATCCGTAAAGGCCGCCAGCACGGCAACCGAATGCGGTGGATCGGTAGTTTCATCAATAGGAATAAATCTGTAAAGCTCCTTTAATAATGTCAATCCTAACGTCGCTTTAATTCGAGCGTTTTTGAAACCAAGGAGCTGCTCCCTGGTCGCATCTATTGGAAATTCAGCATATATCCTTCTTGAAATCAGCCGTGAGAAATCTGAAGTACCGGTAGCTAGCTGTACTTTTTCCCATATCCCTTCAAATTCTGCAAGAGGCAATATGGCACTTGAAACCCATGAGATGAGGCCGTCTGCAGCCCTCCTCTCGTCTTCGACCAAGGCCTTTTCGGGCTCAACACTTTTCACAACCATCTGCACAACTAAGATATTTTCGCAAATCTGTGCAAGTCTGTTAGACGGAAAGCTTCTGCTTCCAGAATCTTGGGGCCCTTACATCTAGATCTGTCGTTGGCTTTTCGTTGGCTTCAATATCACCTAGTAGGGCCCTAAAGCTGACCCCTTGGATGACTTCGAAGTCATCATGGAAAGTATCATCGATATCAGCACTTTCTAACCAGTTGCGGGCTGCGATCCGATAAGAATCCATGCTATAAAGGACGAATTTGATATGGTTTTGACGGACACCTCTCCAGCTTTTTGTAGTCGACGAAGGATGGTTTCAATCGATGTTTGTTTAATGGGGATTTTGGTGCGGATAGGGTTCAAAGCCAGTCTCTCGCTCAATGCAAACCCCCTTTGTACGGCTCACAGGTTACCAGATTGACAGCCAGGCAGCCAAAGGTTGCATACATATTTACGATTAGCTATTTGATTCTATTGGAGCTGACGGAGGCAATCTCTAGAAGCCGCAAAGAAGTGCGCGAAAAATCGATGCTAGTCAACATTTCTTTTTCTTCTGAGCTGAAGTCAGGTCTAATTCTTCTTTCCGCCGGCGTACTACGGCTATCGCGCCCCCTTCATCTGCGTCTTCTGGGTTTCTAAGCTGCCACTCGATCACCATATCCAGTGCTTTCGACATCCAGGGCCCTGGCTTCACACCCAACGCCGATGCAAGTTGATGCCCATTGGCAAGGGGTCGCAAAGAATCCACATTCAGCAGATCCTGCTCTTTGAGATATGAAAGGAATTGCTTATACTCTTGGAATACTTTAAGGGGCTCGTTAGCGTCTGTGTAAGAGTGAGACTAGAAGGACTTACCCGTTCTCGGTTCTTCCCCATGCATTGTCTCCAGGATTATAGCCTGAACAACACACAGACGCCAGTCGGCACCCATTAGACGAATGGAATGACCAAGTCTCCAGCGAATATCAGGTAATGTCTGGCCAAGTTCGCGTTTCAAGAACGCTGATTTGAGGTCAGAAACATCCCTGTAATATTTGACAGTAGATTTCAAAATATTAAATGTCTTATTGTCAGCTCTCAGACTATCCCGAGCTACCGTTGCTGCTCTGGGGGGTAGTTCCTTTCTGTTGGGCAGAGCTGCTACTTGTGGGACCACTGCCCAGGGAGACAAAGCTGCTAGCATCCAGGAATGATATACATCATCTTTATCCCGGAGAAGGACATTGCGTAGAAAAGCGCGGTCTTGCTGTGTAGCAAATTCCTGGTCATAATTATCATCAAGTATAGCCATAAGCGGCTGGTAAGCCCGACTCCAACAAGACACGTCGACAACAACATCATCTTGGTGATTCGCAAATATGGTATCATAGAGTTTAAGGCGGTCTATAATATGCAGTGCCCTGAGGGGATCAGGCCCTAGAGATAATAAATGTAAGTATTGAGAGGAGGAAGTGCTTCGACAGGCAGCTTACCTTTGAGCATCTTCTCAACTTCAGCGCCGATTCTTTCCTGGCTAATTTTCAATTTAAGAGCGCTCTTGATATCGTCGTGTTGCATGGCATCCTCTGTAAGTGGATGAATTCGATAGCCAAGTCTACTAGAAAACCGAATCAAACGCAAAACTCGTAATGGATCATCTTTAAAAGTCTGGTACGGTTGAAGAGGCGTGCGGATCAGTTGCGAGTTTAGATCCGCTATGCCCCTGCCGGTGAAATCTTCAATGGATGATGTATGAAGATTATAAAACAAAGCATTCAGCGTCGCATCTCTGCGGAGAGCATCTTCTTCGGCGGTGCCAAATTCCATTTCCGGATGCCGGCTGTGGTCCGAATAGGTTTCCTTTCGTAAATTCACCAGGTCAACTTCTAATCCAAAGATCTTCGTGGCCACCGTTTCCAGATGCTTGGACTTTTCCGGGATTTGCTTCAATCTTGTGAAGGCCGCCTATCACACTTTTGAGAGCATCGTCTGAGTGGAATCTCTTATACTTCTCCAGATGGTCGGGGTTATCTAGGTATTCCTTCAGCTCCACCCCGAACTTGTAGCCGGTCATAGTGCTGATACCGACATCGATATCATGGCTTTCCACTCCCAGTAATTTATCGCGAACCCAACCTCCCGTGAATCGTAGCACCAGTTCACCGGCTGCAGACTCATTGCCGTTCCTGACGCCCTTTTGTTTAATATATTCCACCACGTCGAGTAACAGGTGCCGCAAAGTTTTCTCGATTCGAGTCAACTCGACAGCTGGAGCTGTTTCGGCCGCAACGTCTGTTTCCACTGCCATAGCGGCAGTGGAGCTGCAGGATGTCCGCCTTCGTTTGGCAGGCGGTTCGTAGGATTGAGCCCTGTGTGTTTTCGCGGGCATAAAATGAAATGGAGAATATCGCCGTACAAAACGATCCCGACAACTATAATGCGTGGGGAGTAGAGCGAATTGGTTGCTGGTCCGCGAGGGCCGGATGGTTGCGGGCGGGAAAGACGAGACGACGACACGGAGCGGGATGCGAGGAGGCATTTATAGGTGAAAGGTGAGCACCAAACTGCGAGTTACATTGTGAGTCACAGCGACAATCCCATGATCATGAATCCTGAAAACGGGGCAAAGCAGGTCTTTATGTCATGGCATGAAGAGTGTTGGGTTGATGCTTTGACTCAATCGCTCTTCAAGCCCAACCACCGAACAACGACCTTGTCACCTTTGCCGCAGCCCAACAGACAGCTTCCTAGTCAACAACAAGAGTCCCGTATCGGCGGTTTGCTCACTTCTCTCACGCCCATGAAAAGCACAATTCCTTAGCTACGTCCTTTGATTTCTCAAGCTGTCCATGACATCACCCGAGGATGTTCCGCCCCTCAAGCCGCCGCCCTCATTCTCCCCGGCCACTTCCATCCTGCCCTCTAAATCCCGGTATACAGAGAGTCTCCAGAACTCGCAACCCCTAATCAGTCCCCTCTCCGAGTCCTCTTTCGACCACCGCTCGTTTCCTGACCTGCAGTCCGTCGTCGCCTCGGAAGTGACCTCGAGGTCATCCTCTCCTGATCGGAGACTCTCCCGTTCCACACTACGCCTCTCTCGCTCAAGTACTGCTACACCTCTAAGCACTCAAATTGACGGATCTGATGATATCCGGTCTATAATAATACGCGCGTTTTCACCTACGATCGGGGTTTTGTCGTCGCCGGACACAGATGCCTTGATACAGCGAAAAGGGTTCAAAGGCGGCTTTCTTGAGTTAATACGGCCATTCGGGGAGCGGATCGCGGGTAAAATAGTCATCCGGGATGGCATTGGGTCTAGCAGGAGCTGGGATGATTTTGGAGTCCGGTTTGTGGAGCTGAGCGGCCAAGATACTACCAGTCGAAAGCGAGATGATGTGCCGGTTGGAACACGGTTGGAGCAGGTCCTGGAAAAACATCTAGAATCCAGGGACCAGCCATTGAGCTCGTGGGCTCGTGGTGGGGATCCCAGCTCTAAAAGCTCGCCTTCGCCGTCTCCCCTATATAAGCTCTTTCTACGACGCCTGCTATCAATTACGTCGCCTACTCCTCATGAAACGTTTACACATCCTGTGGCGTCTGTAGTAGCGATTAGTTCGCGTACGCCGGCAGCGCTCGAATCATTACGGCAACTTTATTCACGAACAAGCCACGGCGATAAGAAACCTCCTGCGTGGGTACACCCCGAATATCTGCGATATTACGTTTTAGTTCATGATGAAGACAACGATGACATTGCGCATTCTACTGCGCTATTTGACCAGATGAAGCGGCACTTCGGACTACACTGTCATCTCCTTCGACTGCGGAGCACTCAATGTGTGATAACGGATGACGACAGTACCCCGTTTCCTACTCCAGAATGGTTAAGCCCTTCCGAAGATATGGCTTCTTTGGGAATACAAGGTATCCTATTTCATGTTCTCCAATAAAAGATTAGTTATGCTAACAGTTTGTAGAATCTCTCGTCGACGTTGAAACCGAACCCGCTTATCTATTCGAGTCTGATATAACTGCCATAAAATCGTTTATCCGCGAATTAGTTGCACAGTCAGTGGTTCCTCACATGGAAAACCGTGTTGCTTTATGGAACGATCAAGTTGCATCGCGGAGACGAGGGATAAGTGGACGGTTCATTTCGTTATCTAAACGATGGGCAGGCTTTGGGTCAGGCTCAAGGTCATCAGGCTCGCCATTTGGAGCTGGACCCTCGAGCAATTACGATTCCCACCAAGGCTTCTATCAACCAGAAACACCTGAAGCCATCTTGCGAAAAATGGCCGACTATTCTTTTATGCTACGTGACTGGAAACTGGCAGCCTCCACGTATGACCTGCTGCGAGCAGATTTTGCAAATGACCAGGCATGGAAACATCATGCCGGTGCCCATGAGATGTGTGCAGTGGCAACGCTATTGAACCCGTTGACATCAACCAGCAAATCTAAGCTCGAACCTATTGAGCAACTTCTAGAAACTGCTTGCTACTCATACCTGACCAGGTGTTCCGATCCTCATCATACCCTTCGGACCGTCATACTTGGAGCCGAGCTCTTGAAATCTCGCGGAGGTACAGCCGCGGAGAGTGCGGCAGGGTGGTCAACAAGAGTATTGAATATGGGCCTATTAGGAAGTATAGGGGGGCTTCTCCTACACGAACGTGTTTCCGCTTGTTTTGCTTCGAAAACGGCGACCAACGGCACAGGGTGGGGGACCCGGAGGCGGAAAGCAGGGATGTGGGCCCTTTTAGCTGCTGAAGGATGGCTTAAACAAGGGCTACCGCACCTAGCTTCTAATTCAATGGATGAAGCGGATCGTCAGTATCTTGACACCCTGGAATCTGGGACGTTTCCCCTACCAGAGATGCAACAGGTAGTCGATGACCTCCGGCTGGCTATAAAGGTTGGGTGTCTCGAATTCCGGGGCATGAACGGCGAGAACATAGACACACCAACCGAAGCTGGGCCAGAAGAGACACCAGTGAAACTAGATTATCGTGGCCATAGCCATCGAAAATCGTTGATGGGTGGAGGGAATCCTCTCGAAGGCATACCCCCCACAACCTTACGGCCAATCGGCCTAGACGAAGATGCTGAACCCAATGATGATTTTGAATGAATTTAGGGAATGATCTTGATGCCCCTTTTACTTCTCATTGTCAATATTTCCCCTGATTTTTCTTCTGATAGATGAGGGTCTCTTCGATCGAAGGCGTTGGTGTCTTGAGAATCTGGTTCGGGTCTGATATCCAAAACACGTTGCTTGTGAATATCTAACTTAGTGGGCATTCCTGAGGGCGATGCACGTTATGACTTTATTCGATACCTGCCAACACTCCTGCTAAGTGGTTCTCTTCTGTTTAACTTACGACTTCTAATACCTGAATCTCCTGGGAAATAATGTGTGTTTCTAGAAAATATAGATCTACGCGGTACATGGTCACCCAAAGCCGTTTTATGTGTTAAACCGTCCCTGCTAAAACCATTTGGCCCCAAAAGTAGAGTCCCCACCCCGTAGCTGTCTGCAACCACCAGTTTCTTTTCTTTTCAGCTCCTCCGGTCGTTTGTAATTTCTTACCAAACGCGTCCTTTGCCACGAAAATGTCGCTAATGACAAACATCACTGCGCCCAAGACACGCTGATGTTGCAGCGACGAAGTTGTGGACACCGTAACCGCCAGCATCGAGCTGATGATGACTGCATACACCAAAACCAAAAAGCGCATGTCCTTGGGAACGGATAAATTGAGCACATTGCTATTCGTCCACGAAACTTCAGAGCGTAATCGTGGAGTTGGATATATCACACCAAGCCACCTAGCGATCGCCATTGTCGCGACAAATACGGTGGCAAACGAAGGCCATGAGAGGTTCTCCGGGGAGTCACGTAGGAAGGCAAGAATATAAGCTATATGAGCTGCCGCAAACGCCACAATTCCCAGCTGGAAGGATACTGAGATCACCGCTTCATCAGTCTCAGCGGAATTCCCCGGTTTGTCCTTCTTCCCACTTTCAGAGCCAAGGCCGTAGTATTCTTTCCTTGAGGGGATCAAGAGGATGTCGCCAAGTACAGAGAAAAGGAGACCGCTGGTGATAAGGACATGGTAGGGCGATGGATCGGCAGATAGGCGGAGGAGCGGATCGCTGACAAAGGCAATCGAGGAAAAGATTTTGAAGAGAGCATGGCCGGTATGAAACGAATTGGTCTCGGACAGGATCAGCAATGGGAGCGATCCCAAGAGGAGGTGAACTGCCGGAGCAGGAGGGAGATTGACTGCCATTATTCCTCCAGAGCTCTTGTTTTCATGAATTGGGAGGTCAGTGTTAGAACGAGGAGGTGGTTCAACTCATCGCCAGAGGGGGGTTAGTGGAGCGGAGCTGCTAGTAGTTAGTCCATAGTTAAGGCTCGGCTACCGCTGTCCTTTGCGGCTTCTCATCCATCACCACGATGTCGTTGCATGTGATCCGCCTGAGAGCGAGAAAATGGCTTTAGTTGGGGCGCGCGGGTGTTTCGCTTAGGGAAGCGCCCCAGCTCGGCAAAATAGGAGGCCTTGGCGCGCTTAGCTAAACGCGGTGATCTCAGCCGACATTTGACTCCCGAAAAGACAACCTTAAGAATCAACTGCTGTCATGGTTCCAGCTGCACGATGAAGTCGAGAAAACTAGGCAAGCTTCGGCATATTTTTCGCTCGACAAAATCTGTCGACGGTCTCTATCCTCAGTTTCCGCCACCACCCCCTAACGTGCTCCTTTCCAACCGTCAACATTTCACAGACCTCATCCACCATCGAAAGTACCTTACTCCCCCAGGAGTGCAAGATAACCCCCTTTACTCACTCTATCGCCTCTACGAGTACGTGATACTGGACGAAAACACTCATCTCCGGAACGAGATTGAATACTTTTGGCGGAATCACTCATGGGCAGTCTGCGACATACCAGATCCCGAGGATGAGGACCCTGAGCGCTACGCTGTGCTTTCATGCATACCACAGCTACTGGTCCTAGCATTCAACAATAATATTGAACTTGGCCTGCCTAGGGATGCACCGGCAATCATGACGCACGACCAAATGGACGAGTATCGGCGCCGGGAAAAGGTTTGGGAAAAGCCTCCAGACTGGGTGGCCAAGGTCCCTCCAGTGAAAGAAACGCTAAAGATCCCATATAAAAAGCAGGTTTACGTGGAACACCCCGAGTACGTTGTTCTGGAACACCTGGATAACCTGGAAGCTTCCGAGGTGTTTAGGGAAAAGAATATCCTGACCGCTCGACCGCATATCTATTTTATATGAGATTGCAATTCTCCCTGACCGATGGTACAAAGTCGGGCAATAAATACTTAAAGTCGAGCATGTCAAAAGTCCCTGTCAAAAAGGATTCTTCTCTAGCCCTACCTCCTGGGATGCCAATGGAGAAAGAAATGCCACAGGACAAAGATTCTAAAATCATCAATTTCATTTTGAAGTTACCTACTGTAACTACAATTTGGTACAATTCTTTCCAAAAGTGCAAACTGAGGAACGGAAAAGCAAAAAGCAAAATAGCCACTTTCTTGCACCACCATAATTTGATTTTCAAATTTCATTTCGGTCTTAGAAGATAATTCCGTCCTCCCCATACAGGCGGCGATACTCCTCGTTCAATTCTGCGGCCAATTGTTCGGAGAATCCAAATTTGAAATGACGCGCCCATCCTCGGATAACGTCCACGGGGACGGGTTTGTTCCCGTGGTTGCGGATATACTGCCGTAAGTATATCGCGGCATCGTTGACATCATAGTCACGGCGATGTGCCTTTCCCATTCTGTCCAGCTTGGTGCTTATGGCATAATCCCATGGTGCAGCTAACACTCGCAAACCAGGCTTCTGAAATATAACTTTGTCTTGCGCCATGGCGGCCTCTGTCATTTCGATCTGTAGCTCTTTGGGCATGTACAGAGCTGTGGAATTGTTGAGCCAATTTCTCCCCAGTGGAACTGAGCTTCGAGACGCTGCCTCTGCCGCCGCGTCCCGCAGGAGATCTGCCTGAGAAACCCGATAGCTGAGATTCCCGTTGAAAAAGTCAACGTCATGGGTGACCTCTCTCGTCTTCAAAAGGATTGTATTAACGGCACCTCCGACAGCCACAATTGTCAAATTCTGTCTTTTCCGATGGAGGAAGTCTGCGGCGTATTCGAGGGCTTTGTTTAAATTTCTTCGGTCAAGATCATACGATTTGTCCCGTATCGGCATACCGCGTTCGTCTCGCGAAGGTTCAGGGACAAGTTGCAAGCATCCTTGAGGTCCTGATATCTCGGATATATGCTCCTCCTCTTTTTGCTTCCGCCTTCCGAGTAAGTGGTGTTTACGGTGCTTCCGTTCCTTTTTCCGTTCTTGTTTGGGCTTGGATAAAAGGGAACCCATGGTCTATCAAATGCCTTGAGTATATTACACAATAATATTTCGAATTTCAACCACGACTCAGCGGGTAATCCAGAATATAGCGGAACATGGAGTGTACCCAGAACATCTTTAGGGCTAATGCATGGCCAATTTATTCCATTCAATCTACCGTAGAGGCGTTGGCTACGTAATGGTTTCTTCCCTTGAACACCTGGCTACGAAGGGAATTAGGTGCTAAATGATGTTCTCAAAGGCCGTATAATGTTGGTAGAACTTGGAGTTGTTTTCCAAAGAAAGTGTACACAGGGGTGACAAGGGGGTACCCCGGATTTTGTAACGAAACATAATTTTGAATCTCCTGCTGGCTTCCAACCGCCACCGTTCGACCATGGGTGAATTAACGGCCTTTAGATCAACTTCCGGCATCCACAAGCATATTCCTGGCCTTCGTCCGAGAGCTTCTCCGAGATCAATGAATCGATAATACCTCCGCGCGAAAACAATCTGTCATGGCTATTAGTTCGTCGGTCGCAGGTCTACGCATATCAGCACCCATACCGGCAGGAACACCACTGAAGCGGCCAATAAGTCGTTGGGATCAATGGATCACAAATCAAGCGGCAAGGCTATACCGATGGCACACTTCTGGGGCAGTTCACTACCGATCATTGGCTTCCTTACGTCCGATCAAAGTTGTTTGCATTTCCGATACTCATAGCGCCGAGCCAGAGTTACCGGATGGTGATATCCTACTACACGCTGGTGACCTTTCAGAAAGGGGTACTTTTGACCAAATCCAAGCCCAATTGGACTGGCTGAATAGACAACCACACCGATACAAGGTCGTGATTGCGGGCAACCACGACATACTTCTCGACCCTGCTTTTGTGGACAGATTTCCTGAACGGATAGTTGAAGGCCCAGGGAGCTCCAGGGAGGATTTGAAGTGGGGGGATATCATTTACTTGAATGATAATTCGATAACCCTGACGTTCTACAAGGAGGCTGATGCGTTCTCTAGCCGCGAGGTCAAGATATACGGGTCTCCATGGACGCATCAGTTCGGGAATTGGGCTTTTCAGGTTCCCCCGATCCGGGACATTTGGACGGATTCGGTACCGGAGGATGTGGATATTCTACTAATGCATGGTCCGCCGAAATATCACCTCGACGCGCATGCCCTAGGAAATATTTTTCTAAATAGGGAGTTGTGTCGAGTCAAGCCCAGGTTGGCCGTGTTTGGGCATATCCATGCTGGGTACGGGGAGAAAACTGTTGTTTTTGATGAAGTGGAGCTACTTTACGCAGAACTGAGAGATGGCAAATGGAAAGGATGCGTGTTGGTGAAGATGATCTGGAGGGTGTTGGCTGCACGACTTGGTGCGTTAAGTGCGGGCATGCCGTTGATCGGAAGGTTGATGGCGCCAGCGCCTGCGCGCGAGACGAAATTGGTCAATGCAGCTTTCTTTGCGGGTGCTCGAAAAGTTGAACAGAGATATCCAATTGTGGTTGATATATAGACTTGCAAGACCATTTTGTACAGAGTAGATTATCAGACAGTTTGTACACAATCCAGCAAACAGGACAAACAGGGCAAAGTCAGCAAACATCAGGCTTGCTGGGGGAGCTCTACTTCAATTCGTTCTGATATAGCTCTCACTATAGAATACTGCATATGGCACCGTTTGACTCGATCGAATCTACTACGTGCTTGATTCTACGGCTGCAATATAGCGATGAGCGAACTTCTCAACTTCATTCTATCAAACGATGAAGCTTTTAAAAGGTATGATCGCGACCGATAGCTTCCAAGGGGTGACAGCTGATTATTCGACAGGCGCCTAGGCTCCCTCTACTCCGATTTTCCTCTCCAACGCGATCCGGACGGATATGCTATCAATATAGCAGCATGGCAGAAAGCTTTTGCCAACGCAACCCTGGCTGGGTTGATTCCCACCCCCGCACGAGGCGCCAAACACGATGGAATTCACGCCGCCAAATCACATCACCACAATCGTCTTGTGCTAAGCACAAGTAATGCTCTCAGTGCAGCATTGGAGACACGCGAATGGGGACGACCCCTAGCTTTACAGGCAGTTATTGTACGCAGTGGTTTCCACTCTTGGTATCACTGGTGTTGACATTTTCGATGTCGATAGGATGAATCTCTCCGGACTGGGAACATGATAGCCCTTCCGGAATTCTTGAATAGCCCCACCAGCCCGTTCAAAAAGAGTTGGGTCCGACTGCCTCCTGCCCCATCTCTATCACAGATTTTGGGTTGGGGTATGAAGCAGGCTCGCGGCTTTATCATAGGGGCCGATTACGACCATCCTGAAACCTCGAGGAGTCTCCAATCACAGGATCTGGTATTAGTGGATAATTTGAAGGTACAACCCAGATAATGAGAGGGCCAGTTTTCGGACTTAACTTATGGGCATTTGCAGGAAGTCGAGAAGCGACTTATGAGGGAGACACTGGCCCATCACCACTCGGTAGTGGACAGGATTTATTCCAAAAAGCTATTCCGTGTCCAATTTGGTCATGTTCTCGGTGGAAACACAGAATTATCCCCCACAGATCTGGACGTTCTTCTCACCTTCTTGTCTCGAGATCAAAATTCAATTTTATACGATGGAGAAGTCCGTAGATCCATCCCTACCTCAAAAATCAATGATTTGACTAACGATCTCTCTCCAGACAATAAAATTTAAAGATGCTGGCGACAGCTCCGTGTCCATTACGCAAGAGGACAAGACTATAGCATCTCTCAAAACTTTAATTTTTGATATAACAGCCCAAGTCTCAAGTCTAGATGCAAAAATTCGAGATCTCACGCTCAATGCCCAGAACGCTCTCGGCAACAAAAACAGAATTTTGGCTCTTTCTGCTCTCCGGTCCAAAAAACTCGCAGAGCGGAATATGAAGCAACGGCTGGATACATTGTATCAACTAGAAGAAGTTTACGCTAAAATCGAACAAGCTGTGGACCAAGTGGATATCATAAGGATCATGGGAGCCAGTACTGGCGTACTTCGAGGTTTGAACGAACAGGTCGGAGACATAGAAACGGTCGAAGATGTCGTCGAGGAGCTAAGAAAGGAGATGGCGAATGTTGATGAAGTCGGCAATATCATTAGCGAGACTGCTCCAGTCATCGACGAAGGTGAATTAGACGACGAACTGGAAGCAATGGAAACACAGGAGAAGGAGGCCCGGCAAGGGGAGGAAGCGGAAATTATCCGTGAAAGACTCGCGGAGCTGGATAAACTCAAAGTCCTTGAACCGGAGGAGAGGGCAAAGATCGAGAAGATGCAGTCCACCTCAAAGGTATCATCTACTGCTCAGTCGGACGCCGAACTAGAGGAAAGCATTAACAAGCTTTCCCAGATGTCAATTGACGGCGGTGGTTCGAGAAGCAGTGTGAACGCAAAGAAGATACAAGCTGAGTGAATCTCAATGCTACAGCTCTTAGCTTCTCAAAATCTAAGCGAGCTGGCCGGTGCTTAAGGGTCCGTGAATACCACTCGAACATTTCGATTATTGGACCTGAATCATGCGGCGGTATCCTCGACAACGATTCTCTGGCTACTACTCTCGAATGCAGGCTGCGCTTCGGTATTACTATCCATGCAGCTCTGTTCTTCTATTTTGCTGGAACTTTCCGCATTTTCGATATGCCTAGGGCTAGGTTGAAGTTCACTGCAGCTTCTGGTAATCGTCGGGGAATTTTCCTTGTCCGTTGGCCGAGAGTCGGACGGTATAGGACTAATTCCGGTTTCGCGTTTCTCTCGAGCGCTCTCAATCAGCCTTTTATAATCGTCGCCATGTGCCGCTGACCAGGCAGCTCCATCAAAGTCCTTTTTCATGATCGTATTCGCCTGCTCCCTGGATAGCGATGGTGCCTGACCACCCTGGGTTCGTTCCCAAATATCTAATTCACGGAGCAACTCTCGTTTCGATTTAGGGTGCCTAGAATCGCAGTTCGCGTTCCACAAGTTTACCCATTCAGTATGACGCCTTTGGAGAAGCAGCTTGGGGCCAAAATCGGGAATCCCAAGATCTTTCAGCTTTCTGCGCAGGATATTCTCTTTCATGAGAGGATAATTTATGGTGGGCAGCCGTTCCGGAGGCCTAGCCGTCATGAGGCTAAAACTTTTGTTAGTCCTCGGTATGATACGCTACTGGAGGACGAATTCATACCTATAAGTGGATTGAAATTCCTGTTGTGCAGGAGGCCCAGGACATTTGTTAAGATGGGAAAATACGGCACCTTCCTTCATTCTGCTTTCGCAAATTGGGCAAGCAACTAGACCGTCATCTGATGTATTGTTAGAAGGCTGAGATGATTGAATTGCATCAACAAGGAGGAAGGTTGTACTTGGTTCGTAGCTGTCATCTTCGCTATCTTCAATAACCATCGGTGCGCTAGGCGTAGACGACGCTTCATTGTAGGTCTGTCTGCCTTGCGACCGAGTTCTTCTGGGGCTTCTCCCGCTCTCTCGCTGCGCAATCCTCCTCTGCCCGTCATTTTCTTGCGCCTCTATTTTTCGCCTCTTAGACGTGTGCTCCTCATCCGCGCCATTCTCAGTCGTAGCAGAAGCATTTCGAACAAAGTCCAAGATATCTCCCCTCGCCTTCTTAAACGAATCCACCAATTCATCGATTGCCCAATTTTGCCTTAGTTTTACCACTTGATCCTCTGACCTGCAGGTAGGGCACTTGCCCTCGGCACTCAGGCACCGTCGTATACACAGCGAGCAGAACGTATGCGAGCAGGAGGTTATCACGGGGTTATTGAAGAAATCCTTGCAGACCTGGCATCGTAAGGCGGATTCGACGCGGGAGAGACCTGATATGGGCGTGGCGAGCCAGTCGGTGGAGTCTGGAATATCGAACGCAAAGTCCATACTGGAACTTAGGTATCCAATGGAAATAAGAAAACAAAATATGGGTTCTATTGAAAACAAAGAGAGAAATTTGTAACACCAGGCTTTCTACCTGCGAGTCCATGTACGAACGCAAGAAGATTCAGTTGGCCTTCGTTGATTGAATGCCAAGGATGCTGACTGAGAACGCGTTTAAATGGAAATTCGACGCGTCGAGAGAATCGGAAGCACAGTAATAATAACACTTCCGTCATATTTGACCGAGAGAATCACCGTCAGATTCAAACAGTATTCTGCAGATCAATGGCATCCAACTATAGAAGATTCTTGGCTGAAAAGGTCCTAAGTGACCAGGAACATGTTAGTAGTAGTAGCGGCCCTTCTCCTGGCTCAATGCGGTTTCTGATAATGCGTTTCTAGGTGACATACCGCTCGCTCAGCAGGGCACTGGGAATCCATTGCAATCATGCGAAACGGTATGGTCGATCGGATTTTGCCTCGACTGGACCATGTGTTTCTGGGCTAATACTCGGAAATAGAATGCTCTATGACTTCCATCAACATGAGAATTCCAAGAAGCCAAATTCCGTCAATGCGACATATCTCCTTACCGGCGTCCTGGAGAAGCAGAATAGCTTAAAGGACCAGGGACAATTCAAGGACGGTGAGGATGAGATCATGCAAAGTAGCCCGTTCATGAGTAGTCAGGCTGTTCCGGACGATGAAAGCAGTGAGGAGGAAATCCAGGAGACTTCGGTCTTACTAGTAAGAGAAGATGAATTACAAGGTATATCTCCACGTGTAGAGTTATGTTAATCCTCTAATAAAGTCGGTAGACGCGAAAGACAAGTACAGAACGATATACTCGATATTCATGTACAGCGTGCAGCCAGCATCTCCGCCTGACTTGCATGCTGTGGCCGACATAACGGCTCTTATATCTACGCAGGATCCGTTACAGTATGGGCTTATGTATGGGATGATACAGAATAAGAATGTAAAGGTATAGCCCGTATGATCTCCCCCAGATATGTGATCTATGCTCACAGCAAATGTTTGTTCCAGCGACGAACTGGGCCTGTACCAGCACCAGCTCTGGTTTCTGCAAAACCCAAGGTTCCGAAACAAGCTGTCGTAAAACAAGAAGAGAAGTCACAAGAGGAACCAAAAGCAGAGACGAAGAGGGAAATTGGATCACGGCCTGCTTCTCGTCAATCGTCAGGGTCTCAGACCACCGCCAAAGTCTCGCAAAGACCGGCGCCATCGAAAAATGCGAGTTCAGATCTGTTCAAAGCTTTTGCAAAGGCCAAGCCTAAAATTAAGAAAGCAGAACCGGCTACTGCGCCTGGAGTTGAATCAGTATGTGCTAAGTCGGATCAGTTTTTGGTATAGAACTGCATGCTAACTTGCGAATAGGGTGAACCTAGCGGTGTTGAAGATGGTATGATTGTATCTTGTTGTCTATATCCTTTTACGGTTGCTTACATCTAGCAGTTGTCATGGACGATGACTCTGAAGAAGAACGAGAGGATCTTTTCCTAGATACTGGGGAGCGGACTACCAACAAAACCCGAGAGTCACGAAAAGAGCGAGAAGAGAAGCTTAGGAAAATGATGGATGGTAAGAAACGCCTGATCAAGCTCGCTAGAAACATGAACTGACAATGTGGAAGATGACGATGACGACGAAATGCCAGACGTACAGGAAGACGTGCAAGAAGAATCGCCTTCTGCTTCAGGAGAAACAAGCCAGGCAGACAAGGAAAAGCCAGAGCCAGCAGAAAACTCGTCTGAATCGGCGCCTGTGAGGAGCACCGGCCGACGGAGAGGGAAACGTCGAGTAATGAAGAAGAAAACTTTCAAGGATGACAAAGGGTATCTGGTTACGAAAGAAGAGCCTGTGTGGGAGTCTTTCTCGGAAGATGAGCCAGAGCCCCCGAAGAAAAGGCCCTTCCCAGCGCCGTCAGGTGGAAAGGCTGCAAAGGGAGGGCAGAAATCCAGCCAGGGAAGCATCATGTCGTTTTTCGGCAGGAAATAACAAGCAGTGTGGGCAATCAGCATCTACAGTGACACCTTTGGAGCATGCAGCAATGGCATATATTTTTAGTAAATCCCTATATAACCCATGGATCCTTTGGAGCCTCCATCACCAGGCCAGCTTCTTGCATTTCAAGTATAGCTGTTCCGCCGTGATATTGCATGTTACCCCTGTTAATGACCTTAGCAAACCAACATGCCGTATTGATTCCCTGGCATCTGACCGTACTCAAATTCCATTCACCTCATCCATATGGGCATCTACTATCCCAGTTATTAGGCTCTCCCTGACACAAAGCATCAAACACCAAAGGCCCAAGGCTCTTCAGGAGTTATTTGGGGGCATCCTTTGAGGATTTGCATCAAGATACCAACCCGCTGCCCAGATGATCTATATCCCAGAGTTAAAGAATCTGATCACCCTGCCGAATTCTCTGAGATGGTTCATGTGGGAAAATTGATGCTTTGGGGGGGCTATTTCAGGTAATTCCATCTGCTAGAGCACCGTATCATGCTGTCTCACGTTAGGCTTGTGGGGGCTATCCGAGCCTCGAGGCCGGGCTTTGGTGCCAGACCGGGGGCCCGTCGACCATCCTTCAGACTCTGACTTTCAAGGATTGACGCCTGTGCAACTCGAAAGACAAGCAACCACAGACAACGTGCAGCTGACCATATCTCATTGGCCTTGTCCTCACTATCGAGCGGCCTCCGCGTCGATCGCGGGATTGAAAGGCGAAGCGATGACCCCCATATCAAGCAAATGATCCAGCAAACCACCAAACACCCGTCGTATTGGTCGACTGTCCGTAGTTCGAGCAGTCGGGCTCTGGGACACAACGATGAAGTTTTCTCTACAAATCCTCGTCCTGCTTACTGCCGCAATATGGAGTCATGGTGCCGCCGGCGAGCAGGAAGCATGGCAGGACGACCAAGATGATCTCGCCGAAGCCTGTCCAGACTACACGGAATACGCAGCACGGAAACAGTGAGCTTCAGCCCCCTCTTTTACATGGTTTCTTTGGCGGCTATTATGAGCTTTCATTTTCGTATACCGCTGACACTGTCGTGTTTTAGCCCTCCGTACAGCGAGGGGCCCCTTAAGCTTCCCTTCCAGCGGCCTGCCAGTGTCTGTCGGACTTTCACCTCACCGTACGTCGAGAAAGTGATTGAAGACATTACCACTCGAATGGTCGATAAGGACCTCGCCCGGATATTCCAAAACGCATTTCCCAATACATTAGATACGACGGTACGCTGGCATGTTAATGGCAGCGAACCGACAAAGAAATCAAAGAAAAAGAAGAGCGTCGCGCCTGCAGCCTGGGAAGGTCCGCAATCATTTATCGTGACAGGAGATATCAATGCAGAGTGGCTCCGGGACTCCACAAACCAGCTAGCACAATACCAGGTACTGTCGAAGAAGGATCCCAACATCAAGAACTTGATCCTTGGGGCTATAAACACCCAGGCGGAATTTGTTATTCAATCTCCATATTGCAATGCTTTCCAGCCGCCACCTCCCAGCAAATTGCCTCCAACAAGCAACGGCCAAGACGACACAGTACATCCGGCTTATGAACCATCTGTCGTTTTTGAATGTAAATATGAACTTGACTCTCTCGCGAACTTCTTGTCGCTTGGAAATCAGTTCTATGAAAATAGCGGATCCGACGCCTTTATCACGCAGAGATGGTACCAAGCCTTGGATACTGTGCTGAAGGTGGTCGAAGCGCAGTCTCAGTCCACATTCGATGAATCTGGGAGATATGTGGGCAACGAATACACCTTTCAACGAACGACTAATGCTGGCACGGAGACGCTGAATCTACGTGGGATTGGAAACCCATTGAACAGCGAGACAGGCTTAGTCCGTAGTGCTTTTCGCCCTAGTGACGATGCGAGTATCATGGGGTTCTTCATTCCCGCTAATGCGATGATGTCCGTGGAATTAAAACGGACTGCGGACACTCTTCAAAAGGCTGGTGGAAAGACTGACTTGATTGACCAACTTCGTCGGTTATCTAAAAGGATTGAACAAGGTGTCTGGGAGCATGGAGTGGTCAAGCACAAAACTTATGGCGACGTGTTTGCCTTTGAAGTCGATGGCTATGGCTCCCACATTTTGATGGACGATGCGAATCTCCCGTCGTTACTCTCCCTTCCGCTACTCGGATTCCTTGATCAAAATGACAAAATATACCAGAATACGCGAAAGATGATCTTGTCAAAGAACGGGAACCCCTACTACCTGACGGGATCTGCTTTCCATGGGATCGGTGGTCCGCATAGTTAGTGATCTTTCAGACTTTATCAGAGGGCAAGCAAGCTGACAGAATATATAGTTGGTGTCCAAAACGCCTGGCCTATGTCTGTCCTTGTACGTGCTCGTACAGCCGACAATGACGAAGAAATCACAGAGTCCATCAATATGGTCCGTGATTCCAGCCTTTTGGGTCTCATCCATGAAAGTGTGAACGTGAACCGCATCAGCCAGTATACTCGCAGCTGGTTTGCTTGGGCCAACAGTGTTTTTGCACAAACCATTCTCGATCTTGCGGCGAGGAAACCTCATTTAATCTTCGGAGAAAATGCGAATCCGTACAGAGTGGCTGATATCGAACTTTGAATAGTCGACACGCTAAGCCGTGGGGGATGTCCACCAGCCGTTAAAGGTCACCTTGCATGTACTTTATGTTTGACGTAACTATGGGCTATTGTATGCTACATGGTTGAGGATAGGGTGGATAGGTGTTGCGGCGCTTATATTCTCAATATCTTCGCATACAGAGCGTTAGATAGCTTGTAATATTATTCAATATCGTCTTCTCCAGTTTGCTGTGTTTGCATTGATAAGATGGTGGAGCACGGACCACCATATCCCGTCAACATTTTTGAGCGCATCTTCCACTGTGTCAATCGAAGCGCGAAAACAGCCAGTTTTCACAAGAGAATCATGTCAACACGCAAGCGGACAGATTTTTGGGATGTTCCATCTAGCGAAGGAGAAGACGATGACGCTGGCTACGACTCCGAAGCCGTCGAACAATCAAAGGGACGGAGCACCAGCAGAACGATACCCTCGAAACTGCGACGGCCGTCAAAACGCCGAAAACTTTCTCTTCCCGAACCGGGAGACGATAGTGATGGTGAGCTCGATGCTGCAAGCGAACCGGAGGCTTCTGATATTGGATCTGGCAAAGAAGTGCAAGACAAAGGGACCGATGCAGAACCAGAGCCAATCGACTCGGCGAACGAATCCGCACCTGCGGCGGCGCCAGCAATGACGACGAACAAGTTAACACCTGCTACCGCCCCTCCGGAAAACGACAAACTCCTCTCCGCAACGAATCCGAGGTTAAAAGCCCCTAAGAAGAATAAGACTGGCGTAATCTATCTATCATCGCTACCTCCCTACCTCAAACCCTCCGCCCTCAAGTCCCTCCTCACCGCCCGCGGATTCGGGCCTATAACAAGGGTATTCCTTACTCCAAACATCAACGCTTCCGGCGCTGCGAGACGTGCCAACAAACGTCGCACATACTCCGACGGGTGGGTGGAATTTGCGTCCAAACGCACGGCGAAGATATGCGCCGAGACCCTCAATGCAACGATCGTGGGCGGGAAAAAAGGTGGATGGTATCATGATGACGTGTGGAATATGAAGTATCTGCGGGGTTTCAAGTGGGAGGATTTGATGGAGCAGGTGCAGAGGGAGAGAAGAGAGGCGGAGGCTCGAAGGAGGATTGAGGATGCGAGGGCGAGAAAGGAGGAGAAGATGTTTTTGGCGGGAGTGGAGCAAGGGAAAGTGGTTGAGGGTATTAGAAAGAAACGAGAAGAGAAGGAGAAGAAGCTGGGCGCTGGTGCTGATGAGGGAACAAGGCTGGAAAAGCCGAGAAGAGTGTTTAGGCAAAACGAGGTTAAAGACAGGGAAAAGGATGGTACAAGAAAGGACAAGGTGGACGTCAATGTGCAGAGGGTTCTTGCTAAGATCTTCTAAGCAGGATAGACTACGATTTGAAGTGGAATCGGTGGAGGATGGTTTCCATTGGATTGCATATTTATAACCAAGTTCGTTTATAGCGTGCATTGAAAAGGATTTGGTGGTATGGGTTAGACTGGAAATTCAATCTATCCCCTACTATTTATTTTCATCAATGATTAAAACGGAACCCAAGATAAGGATTCGCGCATATGTCACATATACCAGCGTGGCTATTGCTGATTATCCTCCATGTTGAGTTCCTCAAACTCGTCGAGCAACTCATCCATATTGATCTTTGGCACACCATCATCGTCATCATCCTCGTTGTCTTCATCATCAACGTTCATCTCCACATCACCCATTTGATCAGGATGAGTGTTCTGTTTCCGTGTTTGTTTCGCCTTGTACAACGCCAACGTGCTCCTCAGCTCCGTATCCTCCTCAATATCACGCAAGAACAATTCGAAATCTTCTTCCAACCTATTTTGGTTTTGTTGTCTGTTAGAAGACGATGACGGTTCTTCTTCATCACGGTCCAAGCGCTTCAAACGCCAGTTGCGGGCCTTATTCTTCTTCTTCCTAGGATAATGTTTCTTAACGAGTACAACGTCGGGAATCATGGAGCTGTAGGTGCTGTTTTGTTCCAGAGCTTCGTAGTTTTCGTCATTGAAATTGGTACCTGTTATGTGGTATCCCATGACTGAATCTCCCGGATGCAGTACGCCCCCGAGATGAGTACGGGTGAAGTAGGTTGTGTCGTTTGAACCCAGATCCGAAGCTCTTGCAACTGTAGCTTCCGCAAGATAGAAACGGCCGCTGGACTGGCCAATCGGTTCGATATCCATGACGATGAATTCCACCAATTCCTGAACATCGGCAATATTTTTGAATGGCGATCTCCAGTAGATTGGAGCGGGAACGTCAGCTGTTTGGAGCGTATTCGGATCTAAAAGGTTCACAGAGGTCCCAACGCGGTAGCAGAGAGTGAGAGGCGAAATATTGCCTAACGACCTCGCCAGCTTTATCGGCAGAGCAACAAGGTCATCCTTGCAGATGGGTATTAATTCGACAGAGAATGAGATTTTGTAGGACTTGGTTGAAGTGTGGATATCCATAGAAATCAGTTGCTGAGATTTCTTCACCCGGACCGGAGCGACTGACGACAAAAAGTCGACTAATTTTTCTGCATGGTTTCGCTGGGAAAAGAAAAAGTCTAGACCGTCCTTGACCTCCTTGATGTTTATCGTATCTTTATGGGCGCCGTGCTTTAGTATAAGCTGTTCCAGGTGGAGAAAGGTTCTCTTGTGAGGCACTTTCTGTCGAACCTGCACCGAAGCACGCCATGTATTGGCTGTATACGACTTTGCACATTCTGGGCATTGCTGGGATGCAACGACGTATTCCACTTCAAACGTTTGTTGCAATATTGTACCCTGGAGGGCCTCTTGTTGAATGGTTATCTTCACTTTGATCCGTTTCGAGTGCGGTTCTGTCCACAAGAAGCTCGCGTCGATTATCCGGACTTTCGACAAACCCCTCAGTTTTCGAAGACATAGCGCGAGGAGCTCTCTCGACTCTAGCGAAGCGCTGATCCATTGACTCGGAGGTTGTAGCCATCTCTCACAGTCTTTGCACATATGTAACGTAGCTTCGCGCTGGATCCCCTCGGAGATATCGATGGTCAGTTTAATACAATCCTCGCAAAGCGCACCCGCTGCTGTGGTTCCATCGATAGGGGCACCACAGTTGCAACAAAGAATCCTATAAACGAATCAGCATCAAAATCTCAGAAGCCGGAAAAATGTGGGAGCACAAACGTTGCGGTTTGCTGTTGCGGCTGAAATGAAACCGGTTCAAAGGACACCGGAGTGTCCAGGTCCATCGACATATTGACGACTTAGTGCTTTAAATCCCGAAAAAAGGCCAAACACCGTCGAACCACGCGGGAGATATAATCAACTCTCTCGAGACAGACGTGCTCTCTGGTTCCTGTCCTTGATATATATAGCGATGCAGAGGGGCAAAATATCTTGCTATCAAAATTCTTATCGCCTGTTTGCTCTGTTTGCACTAAGTGGCTGACTAACAGCTCAGTGCTGAGTCAGCTTCCCTTCAGCCATCCGCAAACGGAAACTACCTGGCAATCCATTAAAAAACCTTTTTAGCCGCCGCCTCTCGCTCGCCCGGTCCGTCGCTTTCATCTCGCCAAAGCCAACACTCGCCGTCGCAGTGGGCTCAGTCTCACGATGAACCGAATCATGCTTAGAGGCATCCAATGCTATGGTTGTCGAAGCCACGTTATTCAATCTTTTCTGGCAATCGCCGACATTACATTTCCTGCACCTCTTTACCACAAGCCTTATACGCGATCTCACCTGCAGCACCAGAGCAGCTTCTCTTCGCTACATGGCCAATCCTTTCGCGGACAGTCTGTGGCCCACAGTACATCTTCCAGAGACCCGCTGGAGGACAATGGGACAGAACAACATCCAGACTCCGCAAGTCATCAATCTAATGAACATGTGCCTTGGTATCTAAGAGAAGAGTCATCAGAGGTCCCTCCTCATCCACTTGGCTCAAGGCAATCGATACCTCCTCTACCGGATAACCCACCCCCGATATTGGAAGGCCTTTTGCAGCATATATCCGTCGACATTGGCCTCGACGACCTTTCTTTACTAGATTTGCGGAGTCGCAACCCACCTCCTGCTCTTGGAGCAAACCTGATCATGATTATCGGCACCGCTCGCAGTGTAAAGCACCTGAATGTAGCTGCTGATCGATTGTGCCGTTGGTTAAGAAGCACCCACAAGCTCCACCCTACTGCAGACGGTCTGTTGGGCAGAAACGAGTTAAAGATCAAACTGCGAAGAAAGGCTCGTCGGGCGAAACTCTCTAGCAATGCCGGATCTGCGTTCGATGAGAAGGACGACGGAATCATAACAGGCTGGATATGTGTGAATGTCGGGTCCGTGGAGAATGGAAAGGCAGCCGCAACAGAACAAAAGCAGGATTTCGTTGGATTTGGAAGCGTCGCGGATGGTGCTCAAATCGTAGTGCAAATGCTTACCGAGGAGAAAAGAGCTGAGCTTGACCTGGAAGGTTTGTGGAGCGGAAATTTTCCTCCACGATCAGCCAGCGAAATCAGAATGTTTGAGCAACATTTTGAAGCATTTGCTGAAAAAGCAGTTGCTGAGGCGGCAAATGGAAGGGCAGCACACCGCGATCCTAGGGGTGTACGCGGGACGGGTTCCGGCATGGATCATGGACAAAGAAGAGGTTTACACACAATCCGTCGTGTCCCTAATATCAGTGTTGAGGCAGCTGTTCTCGGCCCTGCCTTTATACCCCGGCAAGGAGCAACCGTACAGCAAGAACCACGTTTAGGCCCCGCTCCCAGTGTACCGCCCAAAGCTTCGAAGCCACTGAACTTGTCCCCCGAAACTGCATCTTTGCTTCATCATCTGACCCAAGTACCGAAGGATGATGCAATTCGTGAGCTCGGGTCAGGCCCACAGGATTTAACCTCGACTTTATTTCTGCGCCTGTTTCAAGAAGCTTTATCAAATGCTGAGCAAAATCCCGATGCCCATATTCTTGCAAAGCTGGAATTAATCCGCGTTGCTGTCACGTTACAACATCCTCATTATAGCAAAACGGATCTGTTCGATGCGTTCAAAGAATTCGCGGCGTCAGGGTACGATATATCAGAATCCCAAGCCTTGAAAACGGTCAAAGCTCTACTTTCTTTTGCCGAAAACGATCCCGATGGTTCTCATACTGCCAAGCGTGTCTCTCGATCTGACATTGATCTAGCGCTCAAAGTGCTGAACCATATGAGCCTGCGTGGTATGGATATTCTCAGCCGTGAGGTTTTCTCCATGCTGTACACCGCATCTGGTTTTCAAGTTCCTGTCCGTCCAGTCAACGAAAATCCCAGTCCTAGTTCCATTGAAACAGAAACATCCATCCCTGTATCCGCAGAAGAGTTCGATGAAGTGCGCCTTGTCCAAGATCGGTTGCGTAAAATCATGGATGCCTTTGACGTGAAATTCGGGCCAGACCAGTTTCTGACCTTGTTGCGGTTCCATTTTCACCATGGGAATTATGATCAATTTTGGGCGATATGGCGCAAGATGTCTCTGCTGCAACTCCCTCGCTCCAAGGAGTTTTATGTCCTACTATTCCGTTTACACGCTGAGAGGGGTAACCAGAAGAGGGCTGCAGAATGCTTATCGTCATGGGTCCCTATGATGGCGCGGGAGCAACCAGCTGTTGCGATCGATGCCGATGTGGCACGTGTGATTATGGCATGCCTACTCGTGGCCGATCCGGATGTCAAACAGAGAGCTGATAACGGCGATCCTGGCGAGTACCCAAGTCTTTGGGATAGATGTTGGAACGTCCTAGTTGCGAGCAAGGCGACCCAGGGATAAATCCCTTTCTCAATGTATCAATATTTAACAAAAGCTCTTCTCTGGCGATATCCCCAGGTGTTATCGGTTTGTTTGATTGTTTCAGGAACATGTACTGTCATTTTGCCATTTGATTTCGAGCCTGTAAATGTATAACAGTTTGAGTGAAGGGAATGTGGTTAATCTAGTCAAAGCGATCTCCAGAAAATACTTATTCCAGAATGGTGCTTAATCAACCTTGCTTTCTCTCTGTGACTTTTAGCTTATCAGGGCAAAGCAGTCATCCGACCACAGATCTTGATTGGGGTCATGGTCTAGGGGTATGACATTCCCTTAGCATGGGAGAGATCCGGGGTTCGATTCCCCGTGACTCCAGGGTCTACTTTTTGCTTATTCGAAAGAATATCGAATTTTTTTGGTTTAGGCCTTTGCGGCAAATACAGCAGATATTCTTTGGAAGCATGTAGAATAAAGGCTGCTTAAATCCCACACTGTATCATTTCTTCTGAAGTCCTCTTGAGACAAAGTTCTCGTCGGGAGCAAAAAAAAAAATAACTGGATCATCTCCGGCAAAACCAAAAAGATAACGCTGGAGTCACGGGGAATCGAACCCCGGATCTCTCCCCATGCTAAGGGAATGTCATACCCCTAGACCATGACCCCATTTTACGTAATATGACGAACCGGCTGCTAAACTTACCTATCTCAGCATGTGAAGATGCACAAGAGAAGGACCGAGATTCGCCAGCAACGCCGTTTTCATTGAAGCTTTTGATTCCGAGGGTAGCCTGAGATAAATGCTCCTATTCGTGTTCTCAATCTGTGCCTCATACTCGGGTAATTGTTGCGTGTGATCGCAGGTCTGCTAAATTATAGTATCAGAAGCTGCTTCCGCCGAGACTTCTCCTTCATCTTCTCCGCCACTGTCAAAGATCTGAGGTTCGGTGAGGCCTTCTTGGGGGCTGAAACGCTTTTGTTCCTTCAGAAAAGCCGGTATCTCACAGATCGAATCAATACCACAAGGCACCGCTACCCTGTTCTTCTAGCCTTAGCTGGGCCTTCAATGGCGACTGGATGTTCTGAGCATGTTATCTATGCATCCCGCTTTGTGACGGCCCCATTTTCCCTTTGCGCCGGGAGTGAATTGAACACTTTTTCCGAGGGTCTTCGTTCCCTTTGAAATTCCCGGCAATGCCTGCATGAGATGCAAATAATACAAACATTAGGTTCTGGCCAATGACATGCAGTGGAATTCCGCACTGCGAAAACGGATATCTCCACCAGAAAACCAGAAGCAATCAAAACGAGATCCTCCCGACAGTCGAGAGGAGCAAAAAGCTTCTGGAGTCGCGGGGAATCGAACCCCGGATCTCTCCCATGCTAAGGGAATGTCATACCACTAGACCACGACCCCAATTTCCGAGGTCAAAATCTGATCTGGTGAAATCTCAGAAGCACAATCTTGGGCTGGGATGGGCAATATATCGTGCTGTTGTCTCATTCTCTCAAGCGTAGCTGAGCTGAATGTCGTGCCGCTGATCACCGCCTTATTGTGGGCGTCCCAATGAGCTGGTTGCCAAGGGATAAAGCTCATCAGAGATAGGCAACGTAGTAGAACGGATCATTCATATATGCCGCCGAAAAGGTAGGTAAGGGATTCTCCCAGTCCTTCTGCTTCAACCAGGTCACACGGCTGGGTTTTTGCATTTGCCAGGAGCAGGGCCTTAATCACTATGCCTAGGTGAGCGCAGAGGCTATCACTCTTCCGGGCTTCCTTGGTTTGGGGGACATTTATAGCCAGGGTACCCGGGCAGCTCGCCAAACTCGGAAAGATTCCACTATCCAGCTAGTCGTGTCTCTTCCAAACAAGATGTTTGCTGTGAGCTCCAAAAAGGCCGACAGTCACGTTCTACCGCGAGATTTTGTCCTGACAAGGGGGCTGTCCATTGTGGAATGCCACAAGGCGCTGGTAGGAACTTTCGCATAGACAGCAGCTTAGGGAGTGTAGTTGGCCATTTGGATGAATCTCGAATGCTTTCCATAGCGTAAACCTCGAGTTCCACTTTGGAAGCGGGATTCACTGGCGCAAGGTTAACGTCTCTGCGTCCAACCCGCGTTGGCTGAGGATGCGGCTAGGATTAGCAGCGATATCTATCTCCGTAATGTATCTAGAGGTAAGAGTTGGAGATGAAGCTGGCCGTGCGAGTTGGAGGAGAAGCGCAGTACGGAGTAGAGAGGTGAGTCAAGAGGTCAGGCCTGTGAAGTTGTTCCGTCACTAGTCATAGTTAACTAGTTGCCGCGGCTCAAGCAAGGATGCCACTCAAATCGGCTGCTGAGAAGCATCGCCAACTCCCAGCAGTTCAGAGAGGCTCAGTTCTTTTTTTTTTCTGTTAGCAGATGGATGAGAATGCTTCTCGGTCAAAATGGAATATATGAGCGCCCTCCAAAATGATTTTGACGACTTCAAGCCGTCGCTATTCGGTAAACCGCCCCCGAGCTGCTTCAACTCCTCCAGCCTGACCCATGCAAACAGCTAATATTTGACCCTTTCCAGAGCTCCTCTCTGAGCAGCAGCTATCAGCTCTCCTCCCGCCTTCTCTCCGCTATCTGCTTGCCGTCGCAACCCACCGCCATCCCCGCTACCTGCTCCGCATCCTCAACTCGTACGACGAAGTCTACGCATTATTATCCCTGCTGGTAGAAAGATACTACCTTCGAACCTTTGGCGGTTCCTTCACTGAGCACTTCTACTCCTTAAAGCGGGAGCGCGTGCTTGAAATAAAAAATGGCGAAATCCCACGAGCCCAATTGGGTGCTGCTGGACCTGTACGGGATACGTTGAAGTTGCGCAATTCGGATATATGGAGGAACCTAGCCGTGATGGTCGGATTGCCATATTTAAAGCGGAAGCTGGATGAAGGATATGACATCCACGCTGCTCCACAAGCGGCGTTGGCAATGGGAGGAGGCCCCAGATATAACCCAGCCGACGACCTACCGCATAACCCGACTGTTCGACAGAGGCTGATGTTCTACTATAAGTGGTTCTTGAGAAACGTCTATCCTTCGATAAACGCGGCATACTACTTTTCCATTTTGGCCTTCAATCTCGCCTACCTTTTTGACAATACGAAGTACTCATCTCCGTTCCTGTGGCTGATCCGAACCCGAATCCGACGATTGAGCTCAGCGGACCACCATGCCATTGCATTGGCAACTCAACCCCCATCACCCAGCACCGCTCACGCACGGCCTGGCGCAAGTCGCCTCGGCATGCTCAGCCCGCAGAATCTATATCCACAAGTTCTTGGCTCACTGAAATACCTCCTCCCAGTTTCCATCTTCGCCTTGAAGTTTCTCGAATGGTGGCACGCCAGTGATTTCTCCCGTCAATTGGCGCGTAAGGCGACAGAAGCCCTCGATCTCCCGGCACCGGTAGTGTCGGGTATGCCACCGCCGCCTTCATCCAAGCCTACACTCCCGTCGGCGTTAAAGGGCTCCGGCCAAAATAAACTGACGACTCTACCCACCAAAACACCACCCTCTACGTCTACGACCAAACGGCCTCAGCCACCCATTTCGTCGACATCCTACCTTCCCATCTTCACTATCCCACTTCCCCAACCAGAACCTTCCTCTCAAGATGCTCAAAACACATGCCCGATTTGCCTCCACCCTCTGGTCAACCCCACCGCATGTCAAACAGGCTATGTATTCTGTTACAGCTGCGTATTTCGCTGGTTAAACGGCGAGCATGATCGCCAACTCGACTTCATGAATGGCACCGGGGGTGAATGGGACGGTGATCCCGATGCCGAGGAAAACGGCCCGGAGGATAGTGGTAAAGGGCAGGGTGGGAAAGGTACGGACGCTGACTTGGCAGCGAAGAGTAGGGCTGGTAAATGGGAGAGTGGGAAAGGGCGGTGTCCAGTTACTGGAAGACGTGTACTCGGTGGTACTGAGGGGTTGAGACGAGTTCTTGTGTAGAAATTTATTTTTTAATTTGCGGGTTGGATTTGAATTGTTTGTACTGCAATTAGCTGGTTGTTCAAATGCAGACGTATGGAGTACTAGCTGGTGTATCACAAGCTATTCCAGCCACCTGTAAGTCTAGTAGTATATGTATGTGTGTATGTACTATATTTTTATATGTGCTGCTGTCTATCCAAAATATCGTACTGTAAAGGTGTATATATCCACACGAAGGAAGCTAATAAGAAAGCAGTCCGACCAGCCATTTTGAACGACAAAGGAATATCAATGCAACCCGAAGGTAGTCAACGCCGGAGACCTCTTCCCCAAGAGGTCCTTTGTGCATGAGAGCAACAAACAGCAAGAAACATAAAATCCAACAGGCCCGCCACAACACATTCAAGCACATGCAATGAACACGCACCAGCGTCTTTAGATGCCCAAATACCATTTTCCCCTCTCGTACACGAAGAAGCCCATCGCCACCATCGGAACAACTTTCATATATCCAATCGTCAACCCTACCCAGAACCCTCTAAATCCCCGCTCTATCCAAATCACCTTCGCCGTCTCCAAAATGGTCATCCGGTGGCCATCTCCCACCGCGCCAGCGACCTGCATTCTCCGCCGGATAACTTCAAACGGGTACGACGAGGTCTGGGAGACCAATCCGGAAAGCGCCCCAGAGAGCAATTCAGCAGATGCCTTTAGCTGAGCGCGATGGGAGCGTGGTTGCTCCTCACCGAAACGGGTGGGGCGCTCGGAGTCAGGGATGAGGGTGTAGGGTGCGAGGCTTGGGGAGCGGAGCCAGTCGCCGATGGTGTCGTGCGTAAGAAAGGATACTCCGGCATACGGAATCATGCCAACAATGGTGGGCCCAAAGCCACGGTAGAAATTCGATATTCCGCCTACCGGCGTGGATTGCTTTACAGCGGAAGAAACGGTTGATACCACGGCGGATGGGGATCCTTCTGCTACCGCTGCCGTGACTGAAGATGACGTGAAAGCGGCTCTTCCACTACTTTCATTGTAAATCTGTGAACAAATCCTTCTCAACGACGTTCTAGAGTGATGCTTCGTCTCAAACGCCAACCGTACTCGAATAAGCTCTAATGGGTATGTGCAGAAAACGGATGATACACCCGCCAGGCTGCCGCTTATTAGCCGGCGGAAAGGAGTTTCGTTTTTTTTGGTGGGTATTATGATGGCGCGAATCTGCTCATAGGCCAGGAATTTAATCGCAGCGTAGGGAAAAATACGAAGGAGCGTAGCGGAGTGTCCCTTGAATAACCCTCGGACACCCTCTTGTTGGTTTATCGACTTCATAGCAGCAGCAACACCGAACCAGCTGCCGGAGTATTTGGCAAATTGAGGGTTTGACGTTTGGAAAAGGATCTTGACTCTGTCTAATGGCCCGACCACAGTTTTTGCCTAAACCAAAGCGTATTGATGAGCAACCGTCTTATCATCCCCCACGAATAGGTAGTTCATTTGAAGGGACTTTACATACCGCACATCCGGCTAAACCCCCAGCCAGCCCGCTCCGTAGCAAGTAATCCAAGCTCCGCTTATCGACCTCTTTCGCAGCAGTGCTGCCATGGCTTCGCTGGCCCGACTGCATCATTTTACGCTCAACAGCATGTACGAGAGCACGCTGGTCCGCATCAGACGCCGCTGGCGTTTGGATACCGGTACTGTGAGACGTGATCATCGGGCCTCGGGAAGGTAGCCTCCTCAGTCAGCAAACCGCGGGCTGTCAGAGTATTGATGGGAAAGGATGAAGGAGGAAACGACAAGGCCAGCTTATCCGCATTGTCTAGGAGAGCAGCCGTCATTCAAAGAACGTTTGTCGTCTAAATCTGCATTCCACAATGGACAGCGCCGCCGCGAAAAGCGGTTTTTGGTGCGGTTGGTCGCGGGGAGAACAGGTCACGTGCACAATAACCATTTCGTCAGTATTAGTCAGCTGCAGAGGACGATGACTTTGCCGCTCGCGCTGTCATTGGCTGGGCGGCGGTTTAAGGTTTAGGCGCCGGCACCGAAAGCCGACAGAAGTTCCGAATGCACGTGAGCGCTGTTCGGCCGCTTATCTCCACGCAGTGCCGGCTTGATGCCACGTCGAGCATGTATCGTGTATGGAGTAATGCTAATATACCAAATCATACAATATCCAGGATAAACATGCAAGACAAATCCACGCCAGTCTATCACCTGCTGCAACTACCTGCAATCCTAAAAAATGACCCCTGGATGTAAACCACAAGCAAAAAGGCTTTCAAAAGCCATCAAGAACTCCCAACATGCAGTTTAGGATGCTTGCGCGCTTCGGACAAGAAAATAAACAAAAATCAACGTATCCCACCAAAAGAAAATAAAATAATCATTCCCGGTCATGGGCCTTCTTGACGCCAGCCAGCACGAACTCTATTCCCCTGAACCAATTGTTCGGAAATTCATTCCAAGCGCCAAGCAGGATTTGGCGACTAGAAGTTGTACCGCGTACCTTGTCTAGTCAGCGGTTTTCCCTGACGATTCATGACTTTGATATCTTTGGCATGGTCCATCGACCTCTTCGCTCTTTTCGCGGGGCGTTCTGCCTCAACATGCAAATGGCCATTGTCCCGCAACGCCGTTAGATTCTTCCATTTTAGGCAATGTAAGTTGCCGGGGTCAGCGTGCTTCTTGGTTCGTGTAGGCATTTTCGCTTGAGACTCCTCCTCGGACTCAGCTAACGACGCGGCCCCAGATAAATACTCCTTTCGGTTCTTCATATACTTGGCAATTTTATCCCTGTGGAGAAGAAGTTCTTTGCGTAGTTTCACCTCACGTACACCACGACTATCCAACCAATCGATAAGCTTGTCTAGATCCTGCGGATCATCGTAGTACCCCCATTCTTCGGCATTAAGAACGCCGGCTGGGCCTTCCTCCGATCGTTTGCGCTCCGCAACGGTCATGCCAAACTTCTTGACATATTGTTTACCCAATTCGCCGGGAAGATCAATAAACCCTTCTTGTTCGATTTTGTCAGGACCTTGAACCCATAACCTTCCATTGGCGTAACCCACAGACGCAGTGGAACTATTCGGAAGGCCCTCATACGGCATTCCGTTTCGTTCAAACCAATAGTATCGGTTCCAAAAACGATCTTTGCCAAGAACGCGAGTCCTAGGACAGTCCGCTTCACGAAGATCGTTATCAAGGACAGCTATGTCAGTTTCGTAAGATTGAACCTTGGCTTTCAGATCATCAATCTTCTTTAACACGCGTTGATACTGCTTTGACCCTTTCGGCAGCTTGGCAGCCTGTTCTTTGCGCACACGTTCCTCCTCCTGCCTTCGCTTGCGTTCGAGTTCTCTATCCGCCCCTCCGCGTAGCGATCGGCCTATATGGGACTCTTCTTCATCGGAGTCACCAGCAGCCTCAGATTCGTCTTCTGTCCCAAGTGCCTTTGTCTCCACCATTTCCTCAGAGTCTGGAGCAGGGGAAGGAGGCCGGTCTGGTTCAAGTTCTTTTCTCTCCTCATGCAGTTTTCTTAGTTCTTCGAGACTATCATTACGCTCAAGTCAATATTTGCGGGTCAAGAAGTCGGAATAGTTATTAAAATTGTACTTACGTGGCTTTACGTGCACGTTGCAATTCGATTTTCTCTTTGCGGAACTCCGTCATCTGGTTATTACATTCCTCGAGATAGTTTTTCATCGCTTTTGTCTCAACGGTGAGCATGCATATAATCTGGAGTGCTTGAACACGGAGATTTACATCGAGGGTGGAATACTGCAGGTGGGCGGTTTGTGCTGTAGGCTCAGCATCCAGAGGAGCAAGATGCGTCAGAATTTCGTCGCAGACCTTTTGTAATCGCGGTCTAGCTGATAGCCGATGTAAAAGGCCAACCATGACCACCTCCCAACCACCATTCTTGAAATCGCGCTTCCGCAGGCGATCAATCCAGCTATACTCTGCGATCATCTCAGCAGCTCGATGTATTTTAACATCAGCAGAGTTAGAACGGCTACGTGGGGGCGTCACTGTGTTAACAATCTCAACCCGTGCCATGGTACTTCTCGTTGCTCGCCTGGTAGGCTCGGGCTCTGGTTCGGGCTCAGGCTCAGGCTCGGATTCCTCCGCTTCTTCTTCAGACTCTTCGTCGGGAATGGCGGGCAGAGATATTTGGATGGCGCCCTCTTGATCTTTCTCGGAATTGACCAGTGTTTTCAACACCGCACAGTGAATCTCCACGAATAGTTCACAATTGATTTCATCTGAAGAAAAGCGCATTGCTTCGATAAAATCATCAAATGTGAACGAGTCGAGTTGAAATACTTCGCAGTATACATTCAGCGTATTCCAGGTCTCGAGGAGCGGTCCTACAGATTCTGGTTTTAGGCCAAGTCCAAGCTTCGTAGAAGCCTCGTCGCTAGTCAAAAAGTGTAAGCTTGGGCGCTTGGAGCCGTCCCCAGCTGGAGGTATATCGAGATCTTCAATAGGGTATTTGATCGGAGGGGGTGGCGGCGGAGAGGGGGGTAGTTTATTGATAACGACGGAAATTTCAGGAATGAAAGACATTCGGACATCTGATGAGGGTAGCACTTTGGGCTTATCGTTCTTGGGCAATCTAAAAGAAGGATTCCCGCTTAAAGATCGCCTATAAGCCTCGTACTGTTCTTCTTTTGCCTTGGCAAGCTCCTGTGGCGTTTTCGCTTTTTGACCCTTTGCCGATTGCTTCATCTGTGGCCGCTGAGAGGAAAAGAATCCAAATAGCTTTTCGTCCTCCTGCTTGTCGGCGGAGACCTTGGCTTTCTTCCCGGCCTTGTTTCCGTATTGAAGATGCTGTGGAACGTCGGTTACGATGTTATAGAACTCTGCAATATGTGGTTTGACCAGCCAAGGTGCACCGTTCCAGGACTCTCTGGAGACTGTGTTTTTTATGAATGATCTCAGCATTTGCTTGGTGAATATTTTCCGATCACGCGCCAAATGTTCGTCGTCGACCAAGGCTTCCTCGTCCTGGCGATTGATGAGCTTTACCAGATATCTTGATGAAGCTCTTCTTTCTAAAGTGCCGTCTGCTCGACGAATTTCCGGGAATCTCGCCTTCTCGCGAACGACGCCTTGTATTCGCGAACCATTCACAAGCAATACCGTTACCCGTTCGCCGGGGTAGAAGTCTTGTTTGAAATCCTGAAGAATATGTAAGTCGTGTGTCCGCTACAGCCATTCACAATTGGGTGGGTGAGTGTACCTCGTAAAGTTGGTCAACTGCATAGTAGTCCTGCGTTAGCACGTAACTGGACTGGAGCAACACACCGTGGTGCGCACCTACCAAGACTATCTATTCTCGAGACTGTGGAAAATTGCACTTTCCTCAAAACTGGCTCCCTTCAGGCCCTCGGGAAAAGGACTGTCGACTTCTCTTGAACCTT